AAAGGAAAATGAGCTGATTCCGGGAACCCAAGAGGCAAGCGAATTTTGGGAATTAGGGCAACAAATGTATAGATGTGCTCTACACAATTGATCTATGTATTGTGATGAATTTTATGAGGCCCAATAAACTGATTTAAAAAACAGAACTGCACTAAACTCACGAGTAAAAACAGACTGCCGCCAAGAAGCCGATTCTGGCTCCTAGTGGCCCTATCCGGCAAGTGGAGCTGCCCTCTTGAGTGTCTAAGGCTGTACATTCTACGGAGCAGAAGGTATTCTTGCATGTCGATGGTTCTGCACCACCGATTCCATAGTCAGCAGTCTAATACACAGCCAACACCACCACAAGCGCTCCAATATTTGTCTAGTGAATTTTAAAAAAAGGCTAGTCTAGGAGTCACAATCTAGTAAATGAATCCACTCAAATGCAAGTATCCATATCTCAGTATGGCTGTGCTATGCCCTAAAAGATTGTTAAAGTTATTTTTAGAATTTATTTGTGGAAAAGGTCACCAAGCAATGGGTACTCAACCTACAATGTAAAGATCTTTCTTTAGAGTAGCCCTTAGTTAAATGTGATTCAGCACAAAGTCAGAATCCTGTCAAATACTTTTAAGAATTTTGTTTATGTAGCCGAGAGAAAGCACTGAATGAAGGTAGAATATGATAGTGGGACAAGAGGAAACTAAAAATAAACAGAGGAAAAAACTAAAGGCAAAAGACATTTACAGAGGTATAAATACAGGCATGCACATATGTAAATATATTAATATATAATGATACAGATATAGGTCTATGTACATATATTTAAATGTTAACTATTAAGGTAGCAGACGGGCATTGGGTCTCTTATTCAAGTACTCCCTCAATGCAAGAACAATGCTGATAACCCAGCATTCAGATCACTGAAGTCAAAATGGGTGCATAAGCAAATGTGGTCAAGAAAGCTGATGGTACCTGGCGATTAAGAGATATAAGATCTCAAAAAAAAAAAGGATATAAGATCTTTTGACACAGAATCCAGGACAGATAAACTCCTCAGGAATGGTAATGGGAGTAGAGCTACCATGAGGGCAGGGGGAAGGTGGGTGAAGTGGGAGAAACAGGGAACTGACTAAAATGATCAATGTATAACTCTCCCAGTGAGACGAACAGTAATATGGGAGAAGAGAGACGTCGGACAGTGCAAGATATGATAAAATAATAATTTAAAAATTATCAAGGGTTCATGAGGGAGTGGGGAGGGAGGGGGAAAATGAGGAGCTGATGCCAGGGGCTTAAATGGAGGGCAAATATTTTGAGAATGATGAGGGCAATGAATGTACAAATGTGCTTCACACAATTGATGCATGTATGGATTGTGATAAGATTTGTATGAGCCCCTAATAAAATGATTAAAAAATAGTAATAGTTTATAATTTACCAGGGGTCCATGAAAGTGGGAAGATGGGGCAAGGGAGGGGAAAAAAAGCTAATACCAAGCGCTTAAACCAAAAGAAAATATTTTGAAAATGATGATGGCAACATATATACAAATGTTCTTGATACAACGGATGTATGGATTGTTGTTAAGAGCCCCCAATAAAGTGATTTATATATTTTTTTAATTAAAAAAATTAAAAAAAAAAAATTGTAAAAATTGTTCGTTCACTAGGTGTGTCATAAATAGCTCAACGATGAGGGCAAAGAATGTATAAATGTGCTTTACACAATTGATATATGTATGGATTGTGATAAGACTTGTATGAGCCCCTAATAAAATGATTAAAAAAAAAAAAGAGGCTCAGAAAATAAAATAGCTCTAGATACATTCTTCAAATAAAAGTCTTTAGCATACTATACAACACACTGAAAAATACCAGTGCAATTATAATCAAATTAACAAGTACTAGACCACACTCTTAGGAAAGTTCATTTGTCTTATATACAGCAGATATAATACATAAAAATTAAAGTATTTTTTTTTCACACTGCAGCAGCTTTTCATTCAAGGAACACTCACCTAGATACTCACTATGTAGGATAAATGAACAGAATTGTCAGAGGGGGAGGAAGCGCACTCACTACTCATCAAAGGGGTTCTATAGTACAAAATAAGCTGTCTCAGACCATCTGCTTTAATGCCCTTGTAATGGTTTACTTTTGTCTCTCCAAGACATGTTGAAGTTTTAATCCCTGATACCTATGTAACCTTGTTTGGAAATAGGGCCTTTGAAGATGTTATCAACTTACATGAGGTCATACTGAAGTAGGATGGTTTCAAAACCAATCTGAGTGGTATCCTTAGGAAAAAGAAGACAGAGAGAGACAAAGCCAGGGCAGCCACCAGAAGGTGGTTTAGGAAAGACTCTGAAGGGAGCAAGCCTAGCTGACATGATTAGTACTTCTAGCTTCCAGAACTGAGGGACAATTTGTTTTATAAGCCACTCATGTTGTGGTATTTTGTTACAGCAGTCCTAAGAAACTAACACAGCCTTTATTTTAAAAGAAAAGGCAGAGATATTAGATTTCTTAAGGTTACAGCACTTCAATAACTGAGCCAGGACTAGAAAGTATTCCTTCTACATAGTGCTGCTGCAACGGCCTTCTTGGTTCACTGCACACCTAACACCTTTATTATATGTTCCATGTTGCTACAGGGAACCCCTCCAAAACTGAAGAACCATTTCTGAATTTAAAAAAAAATTTACCTCATGTTCCTTCTCTTGCAGCAAAAGCACAATATCTCCTGGTTCCACTCCAGGGGCCTGGTCTGCTTCCCCAGTGAATGTAATTCTTTGTCCATGTTTCATGCCTTTGTCTACGTGGACTTCAAGAATCTTGACTTCTTTAATCACCTTCTTCCCTTCACATTTTTTACAACGGTCCTTCTCATTAATTACTTCTCCTAGGAAAAGAGGTCATTCGAACTTTCACTAACAGTACCATAGAGTAGCTTTAAATAAAATTTCTGAGCTCCTTTATTATTTTTTCAAGTACCATGATAAAATAACAAAAAGTAATCTGAAGGATATAGTTACTCATTTCAGTGTGTACCCTATCTATTATATTCCAAATTTCCTGGTTCTGATTCTATTTTATATGTTAAAACAGAAAACAAAATACCTCTGCAGCTTTTGTTTGTTGTTTTTTTGCTAACCCTACTCTGCCCAAGTCCCACTTTCATCTAAGTTAGACAGACATACTCCAAATAAAAATGTAACTATGCTTTATGGTTAAATTACAGAGCTGACACTGGACTACATCACAATGAGGTGTTTACAGATCATTCTATGGATTGCTCTATTTAGGTATTAAGCATTAAGAATTTCCAAAGTCAATTAGAGAGGGTAAGTTTTAGCTGTGCATCTCGCATTTACAACATGCTTTCTCTGTATTCTTCTGCAACTTAGTGAAAGCTACATTCAAATGTAACCTTTTAAAATACAAGGGGTTTCAAGAAGCTCCTACAGCAGTGGAACCTTTGGGTCACAATCCCTTTGGGGATCGAACAACCCTTTCACAGGGGTGCAATAAGACCATCGGAAAACACTTATTTCCAATGGTCGTGGGAACCGAGACACCGCTCCTCTATCTGTCTCCAGGCGGTTCCGCCCACATACGAGTACCAAGCGGCAAGATTGTTACCCATGCTACACCATGCTTCAAGACTGTATTTGTAACTAGAAATAAATATTTCACAATATATAATTACATATTGTTTTTGTGATGAATCACTATGCTTTAATTATGTTCAATTTGCAACAATGAAAACACATTTTGCCTATTAGATTTTTACATTACGATTCATAACAGTAGCAAAATTATAGTTATGAAGTAGCAACGAAAATAATTTTATGGTGGCGGGGTCACCACAACATGAGGAACTGTATATTAAAGGGTCCCGGCATTAGTGAAGTTGAGAACTACTGTCCTAGGGTTAAAAAAAAAAAAGGATGAAAGATAATGGAAGTTTTCTAAACTTCTGAAGGTGCCTCCCCCCCACTAATAAAGGAGGCACTGTGTCCACCTTTCTGAAATTAAAAAAGTCTAACCACTCAATGTGTATAATACAAATTCACTATTTGTGTTCACTAAGCCTGTGCTTAGTGGATTATTCCTACACCCATTTCACTTTTAGAACCCTTTATATCAGGATTTTATAAGATAAATAAAAACACACTTTGAAAAAGAGTAATTGTAAACCTCCCTGTTTTCTGCATTTCCAACCCATTCTCACACAAAAGCACATACTAACATGGCATACCTTCGCCATTACAATCAGAACACACAGACTGCATCTGTTGTACCATTCCTGGAGCCAGCTGTCTGATCATGATGCGCACGCCTCGACCCCGACAAGCACTGCACTTCTGAACAGCTCCAGATTTCCCACCTTGACTAAAGCAAACAAAAGTGAAAGTTAGCGCTCCATCCGTAGACCACTATAAATTATGACAATTAAGGATTGCATCTTTTTACCTCCATCTTCAACTCTCAATGATTATTATCCAAATTACCTTTCAAAGGTAAAGAAAATGTCCTATACTGGATAGTTTGTTTTAAATCATGAACAAATTTTACCTAGTATAGATTTTCAAGGTGTCATTTAAAGAATAAATGAAATTTATTTCATAACCAAAACACACTTACCCATTGCATGCACTACAGAGTACATTCTTGCTAAGTTGTAGTTTGGTTGTCTTGCCGTTGTACAAATCTTCTAAAGACACTCTGGGGAGAAAAACAACTAAGTTCAATCTAGTTTTGCCCCACTCTCTTAACTATATGATAAAATGATGGTCCATACAATCAATTCTACCTTTTAAAACAAAGACTTAAAAAACACCTCACATTAAATCAACCCAACCAACAGGTTTCATTTTAAAATACTAGCTCAAATTAGCAGAAAGATTTTACAACTGTGAACAGTATTTAAGGTACTCAAAACCAGAACCCTCAACATCAGGCCAATAATTTGCTGTGCTGTATTTTCTGATAAGCTGATGACAGAACCAACTCTAACATCACAACCTTCTCTGGGCCCCAGGCAGAAGCCTACAACCTAAGTAATGCCTAATTACAACCTTCTGAGAGAGGGATAATTATCCCATTTACGTGACAACTCAGAGAAGGAACTTCCCCAAGATACTAGGGCAGTCTGGATTCAGCGCCTATGCTCTACTATTTCCTCCAAAGGCTATCAGAATGGCTACAAAGTTGTACACAGGTTAAAGGAAGCATCCAGAATGCATGGCTCCAAAAAGTAGCCATAGCTACAGTGTGCCAAAAAGAGGGCAACTGGCTTCTCAAGAAAGTCGACAATAAGTCTTAGAAGAACCTGTCGAATCTTAAAATTACACACTCAATAACTCATAAAATTTTCGAGGACTCAAGTCTCACAAAAAGACACATACACACTCTGCTGAAGATACACTACTGATAAAATCCCAACACCCCTTGATTCACATACTGTACTTCAATGACAATAGCACATAAAAAGTGAATGATTAAATCGGGGAATAGAGGAAAAGATTATGAAGCCACCCAAAATTACATACACGTAATATAATACCTGACTTTAAACGAGAGTGAACCCAGTCACACCCTTTGGTTCTTTGAGGACATCTTTAGACTGTACTAGAGAATGTGACTTATGACACCATGCTTTATTTCTTTGGTGGCATGGTCTGCTAAAAGGCAGAAACTATCTCCATCAAAGCTATTCCTGTTTCCCGACTGAGCTTTGGTGCGAGCAAGACCAGATTCGACTTTCAGACAGTTTTTGGCTTCTCACCCTAGATCCTGACTTTGGATTTGGGATTGAACAACATTTGCAATCATTTTCTTAGTTTCTCGAGTTTCTGTGAGGTGTTGCAATGAATTGCAGTACTGCAGAACCCAGAAACATGAGGGGATATACTCAGGGGAGGGGTGAGAGTAGGGGGGTGGAGCAGAATAACACCATGGAAGACTTGGACATTTAGGACATCTTCAATCTTCAACTCCTGGGTCTAGTTTGGTATTAGTTTTTCTAAAACAAAGTAGTACCACAGTACAGCAATATTTTAAAAAACAAGCATGAAGACTATGGTATTATAACAAGCACTCTCACTCAATCCCACTTCCTTTTAAAATGTAAATATTAAGATGAATACCCAGTAAGGAACTGGTTATGCATGATTTCCTCTAATTTACTCAAATGTATAAATTAGAAAATATAAAGTATTTTTTTAAAAAGCATTTGAACTGTGATTTTGGCATTTGCTATTAAACCATATTTGATTCATGAAGAATACCAACAGTATAAAAAAAACTGTACACATTTCGCACAGTTTTCACCTGTACAGAACTTGTAGGACACCATTCATACACTGGCAGGTTAAAGTTAGGCTGGAAGCCAGCAAACTCCATAGAAACCAATCTAGTGGATTTGGCAATGAGGATAAAGTAATGAATGTAACATATAAACAAAGCCACTCACGTTGCAAGTATTTAACTAAAGAATAATTTGAAGATTTAAGTACATCAAAGAAAACATTCACCTTTACAATCTCAAGTCACATAATAAGCCGTTCTTTTACTTGGCAAAAAACATCAATCTTTTAAAATCTGTAACAAATGCAAACATTCAATTTATCAAATATAATTTAGTCATCCGATAAGACAGTAAGATTCACTGGAAGGCTGTTTATTTTCTGATTAAGGATATAACACTCTATACTTTTTCTTCTATAGAGTACTACCATTTGGAGGGTGGGGAAGAAGTATTTAATATTAAAAAAGATACTCACTTGAGTGGATGCATCATGTCTTCTCCTCTCCTCCTGCCATTTCGACTTCTACTCTGATTTCCCATGAAGCCGAACAATCCACCACCAAAAATGTGAGAAAAAATATCATCCATGCCACCACCTCCACCACTACCTTCCCGAAGACCTTGCTCTCCATATCTGTCATATAACTCTCGTTTCTCAGGGTTTGAGAGTACTTCATACGCAAAACTTATTTCTTTGAACTATGAAGAAAAAGTAAAAATAAAACAAATTTTCAAATATGAGGAGAGAACAGTAAGGAAATCCAACAGCCAATTCTGCAAAGTAGCATTTCATGCTAACCTTTGATTGAATTCTGGCCCTATTTACCATCTACTACTGCCCAGAAAAGGAACCCTGGTGGCTTACTGAGTTATTCACTGAGCCACTAATTGCAAAGTTGGTGGTTCAAATCTACCTGAGAAAGATGAGGCTTTCTGCTCCACTAAAGATTTACAGCATTGGAAACCCAGAGGCAGTTCTATCCTGTCATTTAGGGTTGCTAAGAGTTGGAACCAACTCAGTGGTAATAAGACTACTCAAACATTTTTATTTCCAGTACAGAACCAGAATTATCTGCGGCATGGACTTTTCCTACAACCCCCTCCCCCACCCCCCACCCACAAAGAAGGGAATTTAAACATAAAACTAAAATGGAGGAAGGGGATATAGATCCCCAATCTCTTTAACTTACTTTGTCTCCAGCATTTGGATTCTTATCAGGATGGTATTCCTTGGCTAACTTTCTGTATGCCTTTAAGAAAAACATTATTTAAATTATGTACAATTGCCAGTTCAATCTACTTGATATCTATTTTTCTGAGAAGCAATTACTCCATTACCCAACATTTTCTAAACTCATAACCTTCCAATCAATCTTCTATTCATTAGAATGACTGCCTGGCATTTTCTACCTGGTATGTTTAATCACGAACATAATGACAAGTTGTAGCTATCTTTGACAAGAAGTTATACTGAAGCAAAAGTCAAGCACAATGAAATAATGCTATCAAGACAAAATACGACAAGATTATTCCATATTGTCACATCTTTGATGGCCAATAACCACACCAATAAATTAAGAAATGTGAACGTTAACGTTTTTCAGTCTGTATAAAACATTAATACTATAATTAAGTGAAGAACCCTTGCTTATGACAGCTCCTGTGTTCTAACTGTAACATCAGGGAAAATTCAAGAGAAGCTTCTAAGTAGCTCTTCCATGTTTAGCTGAACATGTACAGAAGAGAGGCTGCAAACACTCAACAGAGTGGTTGGAATATACCACACTTTAACCTAGTGTCAGATTACACAACAAAAAAGGTTAAGCCCATGCTTCCTTTGGCTGCCATATTCATCTGTAATGCATTTGCTTACACATTCATCTGTAATGCAATTTCACGTTTTTCAGAACTTGCTCAGTGGATAATCCGCCCCTGCTTTTGCCTCACACAGATACATGAATTATATAATGTATACTAGCATTTCCGGTAAGGTAACAGGAAGTCCATTTTACTCTCAACTGTTTCAGTACCACTGCCTCATTTTTCTAAGTTTACAAATCCGGTTATTATAAGCCCTGTGAAGATGCTGTGGGACTTAGTTAAAAGCGTTGAGATCCTAAAATGAACTATTTCGCAGCAAGACAGACAATAACGCGACTTTCTATTCATTTTCGGATTGTATCTTCAGGTGCTTGGCTAGCGCTCACGGCTTACTGCAGAGCGGGTACAAACCACAGGCTAATTCCTGCCCACAGAACAATGCATCCAAATACGGACCCCACGCTACCTCCGGGTCAGTAGGCGAGGAAGGGCGCGGGAGGAGCTGCGGATCCCAGCAAACATTCCCAACTGCCGGAGGCATGCGGCGGGGGCGGCCTCGACCCTCCCTCCCGCCGCTCGGTCCCACGGGGCCCTCCACCCAGGCCCGCTCGCGCCACCCCCGACTCCCACCCCCACCGACTTGGCTGGGCGCCGGCGTTGCAACCAGAGCAACTTCTCTTCCGGGGCAGGGATGCGCTGGACGCCTCGGTCCAACCTGTTTTGCCAGGGTGGTGACCTCGGCGAGGGTAAGGCCGGGCGGACAAGCTGTGGCGTCCCGGGAGCGCTCGGCCTCTGGCGATCGCCAGGGGAAGAGAAAGAAAGGGTTTTCACCGTGTTCGCGCGGGGATGGGTTCTATTTGCTGTCTCGGCCGGCCGGCGGGCGGGACCGCCTGCCCAAGGTCAGCTGAGGCCAGAGGGCCGGCCCCGGAGCGAGGCCGGTCAGCCCCCACCCAGGCTCGCCGCGGTCGGCGCCGGCTCGCGCGCGGCCTCTCGGCGTGACCGGGACGCAGCAGCCCCCCAGGCCCCGCGCCCCGCACTCCCGGCCGGCCCGCTCCCGGTACCTTCTTCAGCTCGTTCTCACTGGCGCCGGGCGGGACCCCCAAGATGTCATACAGCTTCGTGTCGGCCACGTTCGCCATGGCGGCTGGCCCGGCAGCGCGCAGGAAAGCAGGCGGCGGCGGAGCAGAAGAAGCAGAGCCGGGCCCTCAAGCGGCGTCGGCGCAGGAAACAGCGAGGGGGAAGTGGGGGCGGGACTGAACTTTGACCCGACGCACACTGCGCCGTGATGTCACTGCGCGGAGTCCGCCCCCGAGCGCTCGGCCTGCGGCTGTTGGCGTCCGGGGGAGCGAGGCGGGCCGGGCCGGGACCTAGCATCTCAGGGTCCAGGCCCAGGACAGGTTCTAGTGGAGATGAGTTAGGAACGCTGCACACTCGGTCCCTTCTAGAAGCCGTTTATGAAGGGTGTCACGTGTGTAACGCCACCCTGAGTGCTGAGATATGAAGAAGCCGGTGAAACGGCCACCCCGCCTTAGGTTGACCTACAGTCGGGCGGCGGGCGCGGGTGGGGGTGGGGCAGTGGGCTTGTGCTCCAGAAGGGTCCGCAGCCCAGATGCTCTGGGACGTCTTACACAGCCTCTGGACTGTGTTTTTAAGATAGGGAAATCTTCAAGCACTCTAATTGCATGAATAACCCTCCATGTAACCATTATCCAGCTTCCACAATTAGCTACATTGTGCCAGTTTTGTTTCAGTTTTGTTTCTTCTCCATGACCCAAATCTTCCAACGCTACACACCCAGACTCCCACCTCCACCCCTCCCCGCGTTTTAAAGATAACCACTACATTTGTAAATATGGTAAATCTCTGAACGGGACTTTTAAAGGCATCATCACATATTTAATGAAACAATTCCTTACTTTAATTCTCAGCCCCATGTTCAGATTTCCTAGGTTGTCTCAGGTCCTTTTATAATTGGTTTGCGATATCCAGATCCAAACTAAGGTCTACATACTGTATCTTGCATGCGCAAGTCTCTTGATGGCTTTAAAGTCAGGCAACACCACCGGTGTAGGTGACTGATGGCCCTTGATTTATTTTCCTTTGGTCAGTGAAAGTCGGAAAACATTGTTCACTTAGCACTCTTATGTACAGAAGCCTTGAGTTGGGGCATAAGAAATAAAAGACTAAGCAAGCCATGTGCCTACCTTCAGTTCAGCTTGTGCAGACAGAACAATAATGCTCTGATCTTGAGGCAAGGGCTCCATAACATCTCGCTCAGGATGTTCTTTCTTAGGACTTAAGAACCATGCCACAAAAAAAAAAAAAAAAAAAATTAAAAAAGAACCATGCCAGGAAGCTTGAAATTTATCCTGAAATGTGTGAGGAATCATTGATATTCTTTCCACCAGACTCTCCTAAGTCCTAAAATTCAACCACTGAAATTCCACTTTCTCTACACGTCTTCCCTTTTTTCCACCTCCTAGGGCCTACACCAGCCTGCTCCATGGGAGAATATAGGACTTTTTATTTCTGTAAACCGTTACAGTCTTGGAAACTAATAGTGGCCGTTCTACACTTATAGAGTCACAACTCGATGGCAGTGAGTTTGATTGGGGTAGTGGGGACTGTTAAGCAATGGGTTGCTAACTGCAAGGTCTGCAGTCCAAACCTATTCGTAACTCTGTAAGAGAAAGATGATGATATCGGTTACTGTAAACATTTACAGCCTCTGAAACCCTGTCAAGGGTGGCTAAGAGTTGGAGTTGACTGGATGCATTGGGTGGGAGTGAGAACTGTTGTCCCATTGGAGTCCCTGCTATCCTTGATTTGTGCTTTTTGTCAATAGGTGCGATATGTGGCTTGTATATTTGGGTATGTTGCATCTGAATTCCATGAACAGGCTATAGGTTCCTTCTGAGGGATTCATTCTTGTGTGCCTCACAGTGTCTGGCTTTGAGTGCGGCAACACCCCCACCCCGGGTCATCCAGTCAATTCTGACACACAGTGACCCAAAGGACAGAGTCGAAATTCAGAGCAGGTCTCAAACTACATTTTTACAAGAGTAGCTCTCTCTACTTTCTCTAGAGGAGTGGCTCATGGCTTTGTACTACCAGACGTTCAGTTTGCCTCTTAATGCTTAACCCGATGTGCCAAAAAGGCGTCTGTAAATTAATACATGAATGCCAACCTTCCTTGTGACAAATCATTTCCCCCTTTTTCACATTTTGGGGTGTTCATAAGAGGAAGTATAAAGACCTGACAGAATAGATCATGTGGACTAGCAGCCTGTGACTTTAGGCAAGTTATTTTTCTGGGCCTCTGTTTCCTCCTGCATAAGATAAGATTTAATAATGGTATTTGTGTCATTGGTTTATTTGGGGGATTAAAAGTTAGTGAGTGCTGAGTACTTAGACACTAAAACCAAAAAAGCCTGTATTAGCTTCTTCTTTTTGTCCATTCGTTCACTGTCTTTACATCTGTATCCATTTAAATTCCTAGCTTCCGTATTGGGACTTCCTGGCAGCCTTCATTATACCTACCTGAAGTTACCTTCAGTCACTTTTCCTGATCTTACCTCTGTTTTAACGTCCAAAGGGCCTCCAATATCAAACATAATTTAGGAGAAAATTTATTAAATCTTAAAAGGGACAGAGACACATCATCCCAATGAGAGAGGCAACTAATGCAAGGTCATAATAGCGTCCGAGGATTCACAGGATGCTAATTAAATAAGGCATGGGACAAAGAAAACTGTCACAAACTCATGACTGGTGGCAGGGCAATATATCACAGTTACAGGTGGGACTACGTTAGTGGGACCAGCACCTTGATTGGGGCATGTACATTATATTAACTAGAACAGCATACAAGATTGGCCTCGTGCCCTCTGACCAAGGCAGTCAGGCATGACCCCCTAGTACTGTCTATAAGGACACACCCAGGCAAACCTGTAAAGGCACTACCCTTCCCAGGACTGGCAGGAGAAGGGTGAAGGTAATCACTTTCCTGGTGCAAGATAATCTATATCTTTGGTTAATGATCAGAAGAAATTCAATGGAGGCTTAGTCTGCACGGGGTTTCACTGTCATCCACAGCCTTCTGCAAGTGGAGTGCTCAGCATTTAGACTTGTTTGGTTCTGAATGATTCTTTTCTTTCCTCGGTTTGTTCTTCCACCATGGGAGAATGTGAGCTGAACACTACTGCAGCCTGATAAAGATCACATAGTACCATATTTTCTTTCTACCATGAAGTACTTTAAATACCTTATTTTTATATTTGTTTCTATTTTAAATATTGAATAAAATTAAAAGAAATAGAAAAGTGTAAAGCTCTTGTAACAACGATGAGAAATACAACTTTCCTCTAGTTCCTAAAGGTTTCCTCCCCGCTCCCACTACCATGACTCAAATTCGACCTTGCAAGTCTGGCTAGACCAGAGGATGTACACTGGTACAGATGGGAACTGAAAATACAGGGAATCCAGGGCGGATGAGCCCTACAGGACCAGTGGTGTGAGTGGCGAAACAGGGAGGGTAAAGGGAGAATGGGTAGGAAAGAGGGAACCGATTACAAGGAACTATATGTGACCTCCTCCCTGGGGGACAGACAACCGAAAAGTGGGTGAAGGGAGACGTCGGACAGGGCAAGATATGACAAAATACCCATTTATAAACTATCAAGGGCTCATGCGGGAGGGGGGAGCGGGGAGGGAGGGGAAAAATGAGGACCTAATGTCGGGGGTTTAAGTGGAGAGAAAATGTTTTGAGAATGATGTACAAATGCGCTTTATACAATTGATGTGTGTATGGATTGCGATGACAGTTGTATGAGCCCCTAATAAAATGTTTTTTAAAAAAAGTGTAAAGCTCTTAAAAACCCTTCAGGATAGAAAGAAAATGAGATAATTATCCTCACTTGGTTTGATCTTAGCCAAGACTCTAGTAAAAAGTACCTGCCCCCCACCCCCCAAAAAGAAAGAAAAAAAATCTAAGCCCATTGCCACTTGGCCAATTCTAATTGATGCAACGCTACACAACAGAGTAGAACTGCCCTATAAAATTTCCCAAACTTTAAATGTTCACTGAAACAGACTGCTGCATCTTTCTGCTACAGAGCAGCTGGTGAATTTGAATCCCTGACCTTGAGGTTCCCAGCTGAGGGCTGATATCATTGGACCGCGAGGCTCCTAAAGTGGAGAGTAGCTGGATAATTTTCTCCTCCAGCTCTAAGTTGTTCTTTACCTGACTTTAAACAAGCCGCTGTTGTTCCTATTTTATTTTTAATATATTTTAACCTCCACTTCTTTGGTTTAATGGTGTTCTGCATTTTTATTTGTTCCTTTTATAGGTTAACCCGTTATTGTAGAACAGCTCTCTGTGTTTCAACTGACATGCTCTCCCTTCCTGTCACTACCCGCTGAGTCAGACCTGTGTCAGCCACGGGCATTGTAGCAATTCAGTACTGACTGTTTTTGAGGTAGCTCATTTATTTTAGTTCCAAATTTAGCTAATGCCATGAAGGGAACAAGATCTTTATCTCATTCCATTTCTCAGGCACCATAAAATGCTGAGTCACAGTGCAGCTGAGGGCTGCTCTCGCTAGGCAATAGATTTAAAATGTGAGGCTGGAGTGATTTCAGACTTCTACCACGTTTACAATGTTGTGCAATTGTCTTTGTTTTAACTTGGTGTGCTTGCACTAAGTACATGAGGTGAGGGAGAGGTAGATAAGGATAAGCAATAGGGATGTATGAACCACACTGGTTTTGAAGGCTAGTCATGTTCACAGCTAACTGAGCAGAGAAACTTGCACGCATTACTTTAGCGAATCCTGTATATATACTCAAGTCATTCAGAGCAGTTTTGCTTTTTGCTCCTCATCCCATTAATTTTGAAAGTACAGAGCAGATGACGCAGGTTAAAATATTTGTCTAGGTGTCTAGAAGGTGCTAAAGCTAGTGTCACGAAGATGTCAATGCCGCAGGATTGGTAATCTCTAGTACCTGAGAAGAAAAAGTTATGGGGGGTTGGATGATTGGATCACCTATAAACTCCTAACAGAATCTAAACAATATTATTTAGCAATTAATATAGTAATTTAGATATTAATATAGGGCAACTGAATATGTAGTTACTACCGCTAGTCAAATCCTATCAAAGCTTTCCATATCAACTGACATATTGTAGAGTTTCAATTTATTCAAG